CCAAAAAGTTTAAAGGGATTGAACTGACCGAAGTAAACGGCTCGGCCCAACTGTCATAAAGCTCGTCACACTTGGTTCTCCAAACTAACGAGCTGGGGGGCTAACTGTTGGGGTCGGATTCCATCCTTTGGCGCCGAGCCAGACTTAGAGCACCTCGGGGACGTTTCAGAGATCACCTCGGGGCATCACATCATCCACCTCGGGTTATCCATCTAATCAGTTTAGGGTACCCGAGCCCGTCGCCTCGGGGGTACCCGAACAGGTCGCCTTGGGGTACCCGAGCCCGTCGCCTCGGGGGTACCCGAGCCCATCACCTCGGGGTACCCGAACCAATCATCCCAGGTACCCAAGCTCAGTCACCTTGGGGTACCCGACCCTAGTCGTCTTGTGGTACCCGAGCCGATCTCCTCGGTGCCTCGTCATCCTGCCCCGAGCCAAACATACCGATCGTCACCAGGCAGCCTCCAAGCTACCCGAGGCAAAGTCATCAGTCACCCCGAAGTGAAGTTCACAATCACCCGAGGAGGAAGTCTTCTTCATCACCCGAAGTAAAGACTTAGTGAATAAATGCCGTTGAAGTATCTTAACAGCATTTCCGGAAAAGAAGGATCATTTCCGATATACCCGGAAATGATAAAGGAGAATCTTCGAAGATCGACTCAAATCAGGAAATCTTCCGAAAAGCTCCGAAGAATAAGGAAAGTATCCTCATCCGCGATATTCTAAGCCGACTTCGAGATAAATGGAAATCTTCCGAGAATATCGCTGGAGAGGCGGCCTATCATCCCTATATAAAGAGACTCAAGGCTCTCACTTTAGACCAGACAATATCGCTCTAGAATTTACACTACACAAAGCTCTCACAGCACAAACACCTTTTTCTTTTACGATCAAACTCTTGTACGATCAAAGCTATTCTTTTCATTAATAAGATCAAGAACACCATCTTCGGTTACAATTGTTTCTGTTGTTCTTTGAGAATTCACGTTTATCGTATCCCTAAATTTGAACCCTAGACAAATCTTGATTGTGTTAGTTTCGACTTCCACAATGAAAATCCATATAAATCCATGTAATGTTACTACAAATGTTTGACTCAAAGTGTTAGAACTAATGAGGTACACTTTTATATGTAAGTCCGCATACTAATATTTTGATCTCCCAGATTAAGCCATTGTATACGAGATTTCTTTCTAAAAGAGTGTTCCTCAAGATACGCCAAGTGATGCCAATTATGTGACACCACTAAAACTTTCTCAAATATAAAGCTTCTTTTAACTCTAGATGGCTCCCAATAAGATATCAAACTAATTAGATTCATGAATTTTTGATATATTGGTAATATTTTTATATCAAAGATTGTTTTGATGTTTTGGCTCCACCAAAATTGATATATTGGTAATATTTTTATATATAGAATCAAATTCAGTTCCTTCAGGTTTTAAATGGATCAAACATCACAACTCGTCTCGTATCCGAGACTCGAAGCATCGTCTTTGTTTTCGTTGAGTTTACGATATAACAAACATTCATTTGTTATTTCTCCAACTCGATTTTAAATGTCATTCATTTGTTTCGATTATGTTTTTGGTTTTGTATTATTTTCTGTTCAATTTTAAATTTCGACACCAATTGATATTTTTGGTTAAGTTGTGGTAGATTCAGTTTTAATGAGAAAGTTCTGTGTAGTGTACGGAGGCAAATCCAAAATTTAAATTCAATAATGAAGAAATAATTTAATACAAAATAAGGAGTCCCTTGTATTTTTATTCCGAAGAAACTAATGAAGAAGAAATTCAGCTCAAAACGTAAAACTAGTTAATTTTTAGTGCATAACATGAATAGTAGTATTTTGTAAATTTAATATCTTTTTTTTTTGTCATCCGTAATTAAATAGAGCTCAAAAGAGCCATTTCTGTGGAATGTCGTTTACATAAGTGATATGGAGCGGTTCTGTACGAACTTTCCGTGCCAGATTATCCGCTTTTACATTTGCGCAACGAGAAATTAAAGATAAAGAGAAGTTGGAGAATTCTTCCTTGTCGCTCTGAAATTCCTCTAGATACACTGAGAAGGCCGGCCATTCAGTTGGGGAAGACACCATCTTCACCAGGTCAGAACAGTCTGTAAGGAATGCTACCTCTTGGTTATCTGCACCAATCATACACTTCATCGCCCACAGAAGGGCCTCGAATTCTGTATGTAGCGGAGATAGACTTCTACGGAGGTTGGCAGCTCCCATTGTTGGTGGCTCACCGTTTGATGTTGTACAAAACCACCCTATCCCGGAAAACTTGTCACCGTCTTTCCAAGATCCGTCCACAAAACACCGGTGTCCCGTAAATTCCTATTCAAGTGACACCCCACTCATTCGAGGCCGATTTCCAAATTCCACTGAAGCCTGAGCTTCACTATGAAGCTCAACTTGAGCTGATTGCCACAATTGTGCCTCTCTTTCCGCTAACCGTAAAACCTCTAGCGGATCGTTATCAATATTTTCAAAAACTTTTTCATTCCGTGCTTTCCAAATATACCAAATAATCCAAGGAAAAGCTGTAGCATCAATTTCCGATGGTATTCTCCAAAATAAATGATCCAAGTTCGCAAAAATAGAATCCGTGGGGAAATTCTCCATAGCCGTAGGAATCTGAGAGAGTGCCCAAACCTGTCGTGTTGGGTGGCACTGAAAGAGTGTGTGATTCACTGTTTCCTCTGATGCACCGCATTTGGCACAACCGGTGTCACAATCAATCCCTCTTTTCCTTAAATTCAACCGGTACACAACCCGTTAAATTTTATATCTATACTAGTATTTTTGAAATACATTTTTAGCGGGTGGGTCAAAATGCATTGGGATATAATGAGTATCCTACCCGTTTACAAATTTTAGTCATAAAAAATTTATTGGGTCGGGTTATATTTAACTCAACTCATACACGGGATATTCCATATTTAATAATTTAGATATTTAGAAGATTTGATTAAGATTTAGAATTATGATTCTTCTATCATCTTTGTTTGATTTTTTTAATTTTTTTGAAATCATCATATAATACAAAAGTAAAAAAAAAAATCAATTTTATTTTTCTGCATATACTGTGATTCGAAATTTAAAAAACGGACATATATTATCCAATTGACGAAAAATGTGTGTTCAACGTTCCACATAGACTAAAATATTTAGACAATGATTCAGAATCATATCATAAATAAGATCAACATTAATAAAATAAATAAGTTTTTTGGCGGGCCGGGTTTGGCGGGACAGGTTTTTGAATCAACAATAATAATAAAAAATTAAAATATCATTTATTTGCCGCTTCAATACGGATTAAATCCTTAATTTTTTTTTTATACCACTAATATTAGACATATCAAATCAGTCTCATTTAGAAAAGATTATGTAAAACCAAAAATTGTCCTGTGGTATAATGTTACTTAATAACAATTGTAAACTATAAAATATAAATGTCTTAGAGAATGATACAATTTACAAACTTTTATATATAATAAATAATCTTTAAATTTTTAAAATTACTACGTTTACAAAACAAATCACGGGACGGGTTAAAAAATTACAAGACGAGTTATATTTCGGAACAAGGTTATATGGTGAACGAGTTTGAATCAATATTTATAAAATTTTAAAATATCATTAACATGCCGCTTTAATACATATTAAAATATAAATGTCTTAGAGAATGATACAAAATGTAAACTTTTATATATAATAAATAATCGTTAAATTTTAAAATCACTACTTTTAGAAAACAAATCACGGAACATGTTATGAAATTACGGGACTGGTTATATTTCAGAACGGGTTTATTTGGCGGACGGGTTTGAATCAATATTTATAAAATTTGAAAATATCATTAACATGTCGCTTGAATACGGGTTAAATCCTCCAGTTTATTAACAATTGTCCCGTGGACTCGTGGTATACCCTTACTTAATAACAATTGTAAACTATAAAATATTAAAATCTTATAAGGGGATACAATTTGCAAAATTATATATATATATATATATATATATATATATATATATATATATATATATTAATTTTTAAAAAATAAACGGATTAAAATCTAGTAGGTTTATTAAAAATAGAGATGATAGAACAGAGATGTGATACCATATTGTCGTTATAAAAAAAGTGTCGAACATAAATGTTAAACAGAGAAATAACATTTTTGATGAATGATACTATATTCTCAGAATAATTTTTAGATGTCTTTGATGTTTTGATAATTTTCTCATAATGAGACTGCATGAATATGTAAAACAAAAATTTAACATGCAACCATTATCCGATGGACTTATAATGTCCTCCATTAAACATAAAATTAAAACTCCTAAATTGATTGTAAAACCAAAACTGACAAATGTAAAAGCGGATAACCTGGCACGAAAAGTTCGTGCAGAACCGCTTCATATCACATATATAAACAACATTCCTCAGGAATGGTTATTTTGAGATTTAATTAATTTCGGATGACATAAAAATAAACTTTCATATTTACTCTTCACTACAAGAAAGCAACGCCAATTCCGACGGAATTTCAGACGGAAATAAATCCATCGGAAATTTCCGACGGATTTCAGAGCGATTTGCGAGAACAAAACAATTTCTCGGAAATCAAACGGATATTTCAGAGGAAAATGCGGTCGTCGGAAATTATGTCTTTTTCCGACGGAATTGCGAGTGATTTTCGAGAACAAACTAGTTCCTCGGAAAGCGGACGGAAAATTCCAAAGAATTTACGTCCGTCGGAAATGCCTCAGAAAGTTTTCAATTTCCGAGGACTTTCCGAGGACTTTATGACCGTTGTTTTCTGAGAGATTTCCAAGGACACTCGGAGAATATAGCCGTTAAAACGTCGCTGTTAATGTATCCGTTGGAGCAGCCGTTGTAATTTAAAAATACTCGGAAATCCCTGGGAAATCCCTCGGAAATTTTGCTTATATATTCCAACGAGTTTACATGTGTAGAAATTAAAACAAAACTATAAACAATACCAACAAAAATGTCTTCTCCATATCCTTATGATTATTTTCGTTCATGGATGGATAAACCGAGATACAATCCTGAGACAGGCAAACTTACAGAAGAGTTCAAAGAAGGTCTTAGGCAATTCATGTTATTCGCATCAAACCAGGACATAACGCTACAAACAGGTATTATGTTATGTCCTTGTCCAAATTGTCGGAATTATAGAAATCTCGAGGTAGCTTTAGTAAAGAAGCACTTGTTTAAGAATGGATTTATGCCGGGTTATAAGATATGGTATTCGCATGGAGAGAGTGAGTCAATGCTAGATTATGGTAGTACTAGTCAACATTATCTTCCGGATAGTGTAGAGGAACCATCAACGGAAGTAGACGTAGGTACATTTCAGATGGTGAATGATGCGTTTAGGGAAAATGCACCGTCTTTCGCTCAGGATGAAGATAGAGTAGAGGAACCGAATATAGAAGCTAGGAGATTTTTTGATATGTTAGATGCAGCTAATATGTCTTTGTACGATGGTTGTAAGAAGGGTCATTCACCATTATCAGCTGCAACTAGGTTGATGGGCATAAAGACGGATTGGAATTTGGCTGAGGGTTGTGTGGATGCGATTACTGATTTTGTGAAAGAAATTTTGCCCGAAGATAATCTTTCACCAGCTTCGTACTATGAGGTGCAGAAACTTGTAGCTGGGCTTGGCTTGCCATATCAAGTGATAGACGTGTGCAGTGATAATTGTATGATTTATTGGAGAGAAGACGAAGGTCGCACTTCATGTCGTTTCTGTCGTAAACCTCGGTATCAGGACACTAGTGGAAGAGTTCCCATACCATATAAACGGATGTGGTATTTACCGTTAGCAGAGAGGTTGAAGAGGTTGTATCAGTCAGAGCGTACAGCGGGATCAATGAAATGGCATGCAGAACATAGGTCAGACGGTGTAATTGCGCACCCGTCGGATGCAGAAGCATGGAAACATTTTCAATCAGTGTATCCCGACTTTGCAAGTGAGTCAAGAAACGTTTATCTGGGTTTGTCGACAGATGGTTTTAATCCTTTTGGGAAGCATGGGAGGCAATATTCATTGTGGCCAGTTATCGTGACACCTTATAATTTGCCGCCATCTTTGTGTATGAAACGAGAGTTTCTTTTTCTCACCATTCTTGTTCCTGGTCCAGATCATCCTAAGAAAGCACTTGATGTGTTTCTGCAGCCACTGATATATGAGTTACAAATGTTATGGGAACATGGTGTAGAAGCGTTCGATGTTTCAACCCACCAAAATTTCAACATGCGAGCGGTGCTAATGTGGACTATAAGCAATTTTCCAGCCTATGGTATGTTGTCTGGGTGGACAACGCACGGACGGTTATCTTGTCCGCATTGTCAAGATAACACCAACGCGTTTCAGCTGAAACACGGACGGAAGACGTGTTGGTTTGATTGTCACAGAAGATGGCTCCCAGAAGACCATCCTTATCGTTGGAGCACCACATTATTTAAAAAGAACAGACAAGTCTTTGACGGGCCACCTCCTGAGTATTCTGGCGAGGACATATTGACTCAGTTAAGAGATTTTGGTGCTGAGAAGACAACGGTTTGTGGTGGTGCTGGGCACGATATTGTTGATGGATATGGCGATCATCATAACTGGCACAAGATGAGTATTTTTTGGGCATTGCCATATTGGAAGGATCTTTTGTTGAGGCACAATCTAGATGTCATGCATACGGAGAAGAACTTTTTCGATAATATCATGCACACTGTACTTAATGTTCAAGGGAAGACAAAAGATAATTTGAAGTCTAGATTGGACTTGCCTGATATTTGTTCTCGAAGAAAGCTTCATGTCACTGCAAATGGGAAAGCACCGACCCCTCGATTCCGATTAGATGCATCTTCCAAGGAAGCTTTCTTAGAATGGATTATGATGCATGTCAAATTTCCGGATGGCTATGCATCTAATCTCCGTAACTGCGTTAACATTGGAGAAGGGAAGTTTCAAGGAATGAAAAGCCACGATTGTCATGTCATTATGCAACGCCTCCTTCCATTTGCATTTGAGCATCTTCTACCAGATAACGTTCACAAAGCAATTGCAGGTACATTATTACAAAATTTAAATAACTTTTTACTTACTATATGTTTGTTTATATCTTAACATTTTTTTCATACATAGGTATCAGTGCGTTCTTTCGAGATTTATGCACAAGAACACTTACGGTAGAAGGAATACAAAGATTAGAACAAAATATACCGGTCATCCTATGTAACCTTGAGAAGATTTTTCCACCGTCTTTCTTTGATGTTATGGAACATATTCCAATTCATCTCCCACGAGAATTAGCACTTGGCGGCCCCGTTCAATATCGATGGATGTATCCTTTCGAGCGTTACATGGGTACTCTTAAGAAGAAAGTAAAAAATTTGGCAAGAGTCGAAGGTTCTATTGTTGCACAGAGCATCAACGAAGAAACCTCACACTTTTCCGAATATTATTTTCCGAAACATGTCCAAACGAAGAGGCGAAAACTTGCTCGACACGATGACGGTGGAGAGAGACCTTTTTACCCGGTACAAGTCCCAAATTTATTTGCAGAAATTGGTCGATTAAGTGGAAAATCGAAGAAGCGAAGGCTAACAGCGGAGGAGCATCAACACTTGCACATGTACATTATCACTAATTGTGAAGAGCTTAGAGATTATGAGAGGTACAAATTTTAACTTGTAACATATCATTGAAATTACTAATATTTATTAAAATGCTATTTTTAACTTGTAACTTATAATAAATGAAATTGCTAATATTTATTATGTTAATCAATTTTCAGGATTTACTTGGGTCAAGTACGCTTTGAATATCCTAACATGAGTGAGGATGACATTCAAAAACTCAAGCAGACTGAGTTTTGTCATTGGTTGAAATTCTACGTAAGCTCTTACTTAATTATTTTTCCTTAATAATAAATTTACAATTAGAACTTAATTAATATTTAAGCATTATAATTAAATTACTTTGTGCAGGTTACAACTATGTCTTCTAGAGGTCAATCAATTCCTACATGGTTAGTGGAGTTCGTTAATGGGCCGTTATATGTTGCGGAAGCGTATCCCATGTATTGTACTCGTGGTTACGCTTTTAAAATTCTTCGACCCAAGAAGATTAGGCCGACTTGGCTACAAGTGATGGAAGAAACCCACACTAGCAAGAAAACCGGACAGATTCAAGACCTTATTAACGAAGAGCGGATCGAGAGGATTAAGTTGCGAAAGGTGGATCGGCAGACGCAACTATCCCAAGATGGCTCAACGTCTTCAACCGATATACCCCGCGAGGAAATCAACCGATTGTGTATCGAGGTATATTTGAATAACTTTTTAGTTTTTTGATTAATTTATTTCAAATTATTATGTATTTATTCTCTTTTATTATTACTTAGGAGATTCCCTTAATCAAGGGCCGCCGACCCGGTTTAGGAAGCCTTGTGTCCAAGGACGGGAGTGTCTCTTCGGTATTTCCTCGTGACAACAAACTTGTTCAACAAGTTGAAGATCTTAACCGTGTCATTAAAGAAAAAGATGCGGTGGTCGAAGAATTGAAGCAACAAAATGTCGAGATTAAGGAACAGTTCGCCGTGACCCAAGTGACACTCACCAATCTTCAAACGTTCTTGGCGTCTCAATTTCCCGGACAGTTCCCTCCACCATGATTTGTTCTTTTCTTTTTTTGAACATTTTTTTTTTGTCAACTAACATTTTCTGTTTATGTAAAATATTGGTGGTTTATTTTGGATAATTTAGTAATTTTGGAATTGTTTTTTTTTTAAGATTATTATCTAAATTTAATTACAGAATTAATAATTGGAGTAACTAAAAAAAAATTGTATTAAAATATCTCAGACCCAAATTCCTGGGAAATAAAATATCGTCGGAATTCCATCGGAAACATACAGTCCTCGGAAGGCCGTCGGAAAATCAATCCTCGCAGATCCATCGGAAACGACAGTCCTCGGAATTCCGTCGGAAACTTTCTGAGGAATTTATCCATCGAAAAATCCACGGGAATTTGTCCCCCTCGGAATACCGTCGGAAACAATTAACCCTTGGAATTCCGTCGGAAATAAGCTTCCTCGGAAATCCGTCGGAAATTTCTGAAGACTTTTCGACGGATCTTGATTTCCGACCACGACTTACCGACGACAAAAATCCGTCGGAAAACCGTCTGAAACCCCTCTTTCCGAGGACGTTCCGAGGGATTGGTCCCTGGGAATTAGGTTGTTTTCTTGTAGTGCTTGTTTGAAAATCACATTTCAACACTCTCCCTTGATTCAAACTTGCATACTCCAAGCTTACTCCTGAAACTACTCAAACTTGTTCTTGACAATGCCTTTGTCAGAACATTAGCACGCTGCTCGTTTGTGCTACAATACTCCAACACAACTAAACCTTCATTAACCAAATCTATGATAAAGTGAACTTTGATGGATATATGCTTCGTTTTTCCATGATATACTGGATTCTTCGCCATTACTATGGTTGACTTGTTATCAAAGAAAATTGTTGTCGCCTTCTTTTTCTCTTGACACGTTGCTAAAGTACTTGATGTATACTCAGCTTCTGATGACGACAGAGCTATCACGTTCTGCTTCTTTGAACTTCAACATATTGCTCCAGAACCTAGATTGAAAACATATCCCAAAGTGCTCTTTTTGTATTGCACACAGCCTGCATAGTCACAAATATCCCATCTTCCTCTTGCTTAATCTCAAGACCAAGAAATAATGCAATAACCAAATCTGACATTTCAAACTTCTTCATCATACTATCCTTGAAATCAACAACCATTGAAGCACAAGAACCCATGTAAATCATATCATCTATATATAAGCACACAATAAGGATATTACCTTCACTTTGCTTCTTTATGTAGAAAATAGGTTCACTTTTGCTTCTTTCAAAATCCGTTTCTGCGAAAAAATGAATCAATGTTATTGTACTAAGCTCTAGGAGCTTGTTTGAGCTTGTACAATGCCTTCTGCAACTTGTACACACAGCCCTCTTTGCCTTGAACTACAAAACATGCAGGCTGATCATCATATACCTCTTCAAGTAGTTCATCATTCAAGAAAGCTGACTTAACATCAAACTGATATATTTGCCAATGCATATAAGCTCCTAAGGCAAGTAGAGTTTTCACAATATCAAACCTTGCAATCGGAGAGAACTTTTCTTCATAATCCACTTCATACTCTTGTGTATATCCCTTAACCACAAGTTTTGCCTTATACTTTTGAACGCTACCATCCGCATGATACTTTGGTCTAAACACCCACTTCACACCAATTGGTGTTTACCTTCAGGAAGCTTAACTAACTTCCAAGTTTGACTCTTCTCTATTGATGTTATCTCTTCATCCATTGCTTTTTGCCATTTGTTTTCATTACAGCCTTGTTGAATGATCCAGGTTCACAGACAAATAATGCTTGTTGTACCTCATGTATGTCTCGCAGGGATCTAAAATTTTGAGGTGTACTTCCTTCTTCACTGCTTGTCTCACAATGACTACTGGAATTAGGGAAATTCGGGCTGAATTTGCTGGTGTATTAGCTTCAAAACCAGCTGGACTCTAATTCTCTTCCTGTTCAATATTGCTGTCGGACAGGACTTCAACAAGCTCACCATTGTTAATTTACTCCACCTCAAAACTACATCCTCATTGAATGTGACATTCATGCTCTCAACCATCTTCCACTCACAAGATTATACAATCTATAATCTTTAGATTGTGAACAATATCCAAAAAATATGCATTTCCTAGACTTGTCATCAAAAATTTTCTTGTGATGACTGTCAACAAGAGAATATACAACACTACCAAAAACTCTCAAGTGACTTACAGCATGTTTTCTCCCACACCATGCTTCATATGGCGTTATGTTCATAACTGCTTTTGTAAGTCAAATATTCAGCAGATACAAAGCTGTCCTCACACTTTCTGTAAAATTCAAAAAGAGAAATATTTATGTGTATACAACATGAGAGAAATATTTCTTAAACTCGTTGGCCTTATATATAATCATTACTACATGCAAAACTACATGTTCCATGTAAAAACATGGAGATTACATTACCTTGAATCGTTTTGCAATCTCTTAGATTTGTACTATGAACGATCATTAAAGCTCATTTGAAAGTGAACATCATTTTTTTTTAATGTTCCACAAAGTGATAAATTTTATGATATGATTTCACCAAAGTTATCTCGCTCTGAGGTGTCAAAGTCACCAAAGTTTATCGACTTATTGAAATTTATCGACTTATTGTCGATGTGGGACTCTTTAATTCTCCCCTTCGAGATGATAACTCTTTGAGTTCATTCATCTCAAACTGAATATCACTTTAGGATCAATAACATACCCGTTTTTGGCCTTGTGTTTTATCTTGGATCTTTTTAAAAAATGTGGAACTTTTAATACCCTCTCTAAAGATGATGACTTTTCAAGTTTATTCATCTTGGACCGAATCTCTTTTCTTTGACCGGTTATACACGGGGTTTAATTGGGAGAAATATTACGGAAATCAACCATTATATAATGATCTTATCAAAGAAAAATGGTGATTTGGCCAAAGACCATATAATTGTGGAGGGATAGCCTACTACAGAGTTAAGGAGAAGGTATATAACCTTCAACTCCTTATATAATATAAAATTTAAATAAATTTAAATAAATTCAACATAAATTAAATGTTACCTCAGAAATGTGGACGGAAGCAAGCAATGCTTGAATAAGGGAGAGCAAAGGTACGTAACATAAATCTTTCTCCTCTTCTCTTTCTTTATATAAAATTTTAGTGATATATAACCACTCTTTTTGAGTTCCAATTTAGGATCAACATATACAATAATGATCACAAACCTCGATAGAGATTTATTAAAGACGCATGAGCGTACTTCGTTATTAACATACTCTTTCTTTTAAAACAATCGCTTAAACGATTATACCACATGCGTCCGGATTATTTAAATCCGTAAAGTGATCACTGTAATTTGACCGTACTTATTTCATTAGACTTTGAGTCTAATGCCTTAGGAACTTTGAAATCCTTTTAGGATTTTTATGTATATATCATCATCCAATGATCCATATAAATATAATATCACTACATCCATAAGGTACATTTCTAAATTATAAGAGACCGTTAGGCTCGTTGTGTACCTGAATGTAATTTTATCTATGACTAGAGAATATGTTTTTTTTTTTTTTTTTTTTAATAATCAACTCCATGTCTTTGAGAAAAACTTTGTGTAACAAGTCGGACTTTATATCGTGTGATTTCAGCTTTTTGACACAAAAACCTACTTGCACGCAACAACTTATAATCTTTAGATGTAGTGACAAGATATACAACGACACCTCTTTTATTAAGAGAGAGCAATTCAATATATTGTACCCTTTTCTTTTTTTTTTTAATCAGGCCCTTGCTGGCACTGATACGGACCCTGGATCTGGATCATCATTATTAATTTCATTGTTATACCGGGATGGTTTGACTGGTTATGCTATGCTTAAAGCATTAGTAAACTTCTTGTTTACTATTAAAAATAATTTTTGCCATCTTTAATTTTTTGTATGATATAATCATACATTTGCGTGTCTCCATTGTGGTCGGATATTCAATACCACATTTATTTATAGTCTCAATATAAGAATTATAAAGAAAAATATTTTGGAAACTACACGAGTTTCTTTGAGACTTTGGAATACACAAAGCATCGATTATTATGAATCTGATGCATCTGGAAGTCGAGAGACTAACTCATCTAGACCTTCCAATTATTTTGCACTGTCTAAAAAAATATTGACACGTGCTTCATATATTCTCATAAGAGAAATTTATTTTTATTTTTATTTTAAAGACATACAATGTCTTTAAATCTCATAACACATTCTTTATGAATAAAATAAATAAAAATAACTAAACACATAAATTCATAAAATTAATAATATAGAGACCAAAGCCTTTTTATACAAGAATTCAGGAGGCATCACCTTCCATTAAGAATTAAATAGGCATAGCTTTCGTTTGATCGTAGAGAAGGAGGCAGAGCCTACCATATATATCGATCAATCCAGAAAAAATATAAATTTTTATTTGATCGTTAGGAAGGTAAAACCTACCATATATGACGATCGATCCGGAAAAAGTATAGCCATTAATTTGATCATAAAGGAGGCAGAGCCTACCATATACAGCGATCAATCCGGAAAAGACATAACTTTTTATTCGATCATGAAGGTGGCAGAGCCTACCACTTATAACGATCAATCCGAAAAAAAAAAGCAGTCTCACGATGTCTAAAATAATTATGTTCTATAAACATAAATAAATTTAAATAATATAAATTTTACTTACCTCGTAAACGCTCAAACGGTAAAGATATCGTGCTGATAACGTGTTATAAACCATAACGCAAACATATATATATATATATATAATATAATATTATATATGAATAAACAAAAAGAGAAATCGTGAGTTTTAGAAATTGGAGAACAACACTCACTTTATTATATCTCTCTATTTTTTTCCACTTTGTCCTCTTCGTTTACATGTATTTATAAGACAGAAAACTTGATGTCCAATTTAATAATAAAATATAAAAAGAGATGGATTAACATCCATTTGGATAATTATATAGACTTGGATAACTATCCATTTGCTTGGAGAAGTAATGTGATAGATAATCATCACATTTATAACAATATTCATCTTTTCATCGAAAATAACACTCGTTTTGGTTCATATCGGACGTTAACACTTCATGTGAAGCAATTCAAAACACTAGTTCTTCTTTCCTCTTAAATATTACACAA